GGGTTGTGTGGCGACGACAGTGTACCTTAGTAGGAATAATATCTCCCACGTTCTATCCCCGCCCCGATGGTGCGTCTAGAATTATCGAAGGGCGTGTGGAGGTACGTCTCTGTCGGGTCTCGCGAGATTCAAGTGTTGGTCTTCTGAGGATCTGTTTGGATCCGATCTTCGCTTGATCCTTCTGATCTAGGACTTTCTTCATCGGCGATGGTTGTTGCTTTGGGGCTCTGGTCCTATGGGTCCTTAGCATGACGACTTCCCGACTATCTACTACAAAAAGTTTGCCCGGCTCTAGTGAGGGAGGGGCGACGACGGCGGCGTGCCTTCGGCTTGCTCTAGTGCTTATAGTCTTCACTAGGTGGTCCACAGACTTGGTTGTAATTTGTATTACCTCTGTTGTTCTTTTACTGCCATAATTGAAGCTGAATAGATTGGAAGTTTCTCGCAAAAAAGAAAAGAAAATGGTGTGTAAATGTTGTTTGCCTAGCCTGCGTTGTAATAAGGGAATCTCCAACACGGACCCTCAAACCGCTCGCATCCATCCGGACCGCAAGGTCCGGACGTGTTTTGCCATCTAACATGGTCCCGTATCCGTCCGTGGGCCGGTTCGGACATCCTTTTCCCTACGAACCAGAAGCAAACCGGGGGCTTTGCGGGGGTCTGGACCGCTGCCACACACACACGTCCGACAACCATGCCCGACCAAAACCCTCTTCCTTGCCCGCGTACATTCTCGTCCCAAGCGGTTTCCCGCATTCATGTCATTCTAGAGCGACAGCTGCGCATTGAAACTGGTCCAGAGTGGAAGTGACCTCCCACTGGCGTCGACACTGAAGCGACTCGCTGGCCGAGAGCACTGCCCGCACCGGGTCCCTGTTATCCGCGCATGTTTGATGCTGGAGAGGCGTTACTGGACGGGGCGGGAGGGATGTCAACCGCATTCAAACGAGATGTCCGTTCGTCCGCCTGCCGCCATTAAACAGGCACACTGGCAGAGAAACCAATTCCGCCCTGATAACCCACAAGTATAGGGGATCACAACAGTTT